TCCTGTTGGGCCAAGACGACGTCACCCGCCCACCGCACTACGCTGTGCTACGCTGCTGTTGCCCATTCTACCCGTTCAGTCGTGCTCCCCGACGCGGCGCGATCATCCGAACTCACCTACTCTGGCCCCATTTGGGAGGCATGGAGGACGTTGCAAATAGGATGGGGGGAGAAAAGGACGAGGAGATTGGAGGAGGAGGAGGAGGAGGAGGAAGAAGAGGAGGAAGAGGGCTCCGGGCACACGCGTGCGCGACCGCTTGGCCTCTGCCCAAGGCAAAAGGCACCAACGGACCGTGCCGACTTATGCGCCCCGGACGGTTCCATTGCATGTTTTGCGTGCGCCGTTGAAAAAAGACAGCGTTTTGAATGACGAGCATCCTGACGCGCTGGTGTGGCAAACCGATTCTACACATGGAGCGCTGGCGTTCCGCACGTGAATCCAATCATGTTCCGTCGCAAAGCCATCATCATCACCCCCATCATCATATGATGAATGTCATGACACGCTGGTGTGGCACGCTGGTGTCATGGTAGGCTGGCTTTCCGCATGTGTATTCACTCGTGCATCATCGCAGGACCATCGTCATGATGATGGGTGCCATGATGCGCTGGTGTGGCACGCCCGATCTCATGACACACTGGGTTGCCGACAATATACACCATGGAGTCTTCGTCCAGAACCGATCCCAAATATTGTATAAGACCGTTCAGCTCCCTCAAGAGCCCGTTTGACAGGAAACCATTATGAGGGCAATTTCGTGGACATCTCTTTTTCGGTGCCGCAGCGAGAAATCGCTGCGTGTCGTGCTTCGAGCAGCACTTCGCCTGAACTTACAAGCGCCGTTTTCCCCCTATCAAGCGCGCGACCCCTCTGGCCTCTGCCTCAAGCAAGGGGTATCAACGCACGCTGTCGACCTGCGCGCCCCATACCCAACGACTGTACGTTGTGCGCGCGTAGTGGTAACAGGGACATCATCAGGATTATGAATGCAGTGACGCGCTGGTGTGGCAGAGCGATGGGTACACATGGGACACTGGACGTCCGCATGTGCATCCACGAATGCGCTGTCGCAGGGACATCCTCATGATGATGGTTGTCCTGACGCGCTGGTGTGGCCCACCGATGTCATGACACGCTGGTGCGCCTGGTGCTCCAAGTATGTGCGACATGGCGTCCTAATCCAGCACTGGTTCATGGAAGGTTGGCCCTCCGCATGTGTATTGGGTCGCGTACCATCGCAGGACTTTCGACTTGATGATGGATGTCATGACGCGCTGGCGTGGCACCGTTCGGCCTCATCAGGAGTTCTCTGAGAGAACCGCCGTTCCAAGGGACATTTCGTGGTCAGCCCGCCTTCGCTGTCAACGCCAGAATACACTGCGCTTCGTGGGTCGAACACTACTTCGACACACCTCCGCGCCCTGATGTGCCCCACCGAACTTTTAAAACATCTGTTTTCCTGACCACCAACATAAGCTATGATCGCGGCAATGCTCCGCGCACGCGGAGGGGGTCAACCATCTGGCTGCGTGGCCCATGGATACCAATGCTCTGCTCCAATCAGCGGGCACACATGCCTTTCCATGACACGAATCATCGTTTCTTTCGATTCGAACGGTATACCAAGCACGGCGCACACACACACACACACACACACACGCACGCACGCACGCACGCACGCACGCACGCACACACCCACACACACACCCACACACACACACACACATACACACACACACACACACGCATCAGCGTCCGCACTCCCCTTTCTTCCCTGCAAGGCCAGAACAGGTCGCGCACGCGTGCGCCAGGTGCGAGGAGGAGGAGAAGGATGAGGATGATGAGGAAGGAGGAGGAGGAGGAATAGGAGGAGGAGGAGAATGAGGAAAGGAAATACTAGGAGGGAGGAGGATGAGGGGGAGGGGGATGAGGAGGAGCAGGGAGAGGAGGGAAACGAGAAGGAATAGGAGGAGGAGGAGCAGGAGCAAGATGAGGAGGAAGAGGAGGAAGAGAACAACGGCTGCGTCTGAAGACACTGAAGCCGCAAGGACATAGGAAACATGAGGAGGAGGCGGGAAGGGGAGGAGAATGAGGAGGACGAGGAGGAGGAGGAAGAGGAGGAAGAGAGAGAGAGAGGACGAGGAGGAGGAGGAAGAGGAGGGAGAGAGAGAGAGGAGGAGGAGCAGGAGGAGAGGAGGAAGAGGAGGAGGAGGAGAAGGAGGAGGAGGAGAAATAATGGGGGAGTGCGGAGGGCGGAAGAGGAGAAGAAGAGAAGAGGAGGAGGAAGAAGAAAGGAGGGATGGATGGATGGAGGGAGAGGAGGAGGGGGAGGATGAGGGGGAGGAGGGAGGAGGAGGAGAAGATGAGCAGGAGAAGGAGGAGGAGGAAGGGAAGAGGACGCGGACGAGGGAGGAGGAGGAGGAGGAGGAGGAGGAGGAGGAGGTGGAGGAGGTGGAGGAGGGGGAGGGGGAGGAGGAGGAGGAGGAGGAGGGAGGAGGAGGAGGAGGAGGAGGATTCTGCTGGTGGACCAGGCCCCGTCCTCCGCACCTCCCCCCTCCCGCCACCAGCTCTCCGTCCTCCGCTCTCCGCAATCCTCCCTCGCGCGTGGTTCCAGGGTGGGCCCCCCTCGAAGCCCTGCGCGGCCCCTGGAGCAAGCCAGCAGTGGTGGGTCCCCCGCGCCCCCCCCCCCCCGCGGGCAGAGGCGAGCCCTGCCATAGCTCGGGCGGCCATTCCCCGTGCATGTCTTGTTGGTTTCGTGCACGTTTTTCTTCGCAGGATGATCCAGGATGCCCTTCGATGGTCCCCGCCAGGCACACGTCCGAGCGATGCCAAGACGCCTGAGAATGGAAGAGGCGTTGCGAGCGCCGTCCGGGACGACGAGCGCATCACGGATGCCCAGATCTCCAGCGGTCGAGCCTCGAGATTTCGTCGGACGTCATCGTCGCTTCCCCCAGGCTTTTTCCAGCCTAGGGATGCTCTTCAGCGGCTACGCCTCGTCGAGAGCGTTCCGGGGGGGCCCAGATTGTCTCGAACGGCCGCATGAGGCCGTTGAATGGGCCGACACCCACGAGAACGTCTTCTTATTCGGCGATTCGACATTTGGCAGAGGGCGGGGAAGGGGGCAGGGGTTCTTGCTCCGGACCTCTGCTGAGTGAGTCTG